TTTTATGTACGTATTTAATGTAAATTTTATTTTAATAAGATTTTATATTAATCAGCTAGTACAAATGCAATACAATTCAATAGTTTCTTTTACTTTAGAGCCTAGCTGACAAAATTAAAAATAATTGTAGCATTTTTTGTTATTTCTTTTTACATTTGTTGCTACCGTTTTATTTACAATAAGGAAATAAATGGGTACTTCTTGTAATTTAAAGCGAAGCAAGACCTTGACGAACATAAAAAAGTTTTTATTTATAAAGTATCTAACAAAGTAATTTGAATCTGTTTGTACTTAAAAAAAATAACATTGCATTTTAATATATATCAACTTGATCGCTTTATTTCTTCTATAATTTCCATGTCGTCTATAGAATTACAGGTAAATAACTATAAAATATTAACAAATACAACGGGAAATAAATAAATTAGTGTAATCACAAATATAATCGATAATTATTGAATATTTTATAAGTTCTTAATTAAATCCAATACTATTCATATTTTTACATTTTGTGATTCTAATTTTCGTAAAAATTTGCGAAAATTTTCAGTGTTTTCCAAAGTTGGGACGCGTACCGTACTGGAAGAGTAATTTTTACCACTAATGTTCTTGATTGTAATCTAAATCTTTTAAATCCAGCGGAAAACGCGATTATAGTGACAAGCAACAAACAGAAAATAATAAAATTAACATAATTGGACTATTAAGAAAAGAGCATCTTTTTAATTGATTATAATGATTGTTAGGCATTTATAATATACCTAACTTTTATTTGTAGGTACTAAAAAAGAAAAACAAAAATACAATACTACAATTGTTATTAAAGTATATATGAAATCTTATTTTGCCAAGACCTAAAAGGTACTCGTTGCCAAAGGGGTACAAAGATATATCGAATGTTATTCTAAATCAATAAATCAGTATCAGCTTTTTATGTTATCGCAATCTTCTTCTGTCTCACAAAATATCACTTTAAATTAAGTCGTTGTAAACGGTTCAATATTTATAAATTCGTATATTCCATGGATCCCCTCATGATTCAAATTCTTTTTTGTAACATTCGTTAATATATATA